AAACGCTGCAGATTTAGGATTTAGGAGTTCGTCTTTCAAACAGAAATTGATCTATTCCACTGTGTTTTCAAACTCCATACACGTTTAGTAGAATATTATGATCATTGCAGCCCTGGAATTGCCAATCTCAACTGAACAAAAGGTAAAAGGAGCTTGAAACTTGAAAACTACTGCTTCATGACATCACAAGGTGGAACAGAGTGTTTTGAGATTTGCAGATACCTCAAAATACCAAATAATTAACCGCTGGGTCCCCTTTAAACGCCGGATACAGGTTTAAATTTTGATAAATAACTGCCTGTTCCAAATAAACAGCAAGTCTAATGTATTAAAAAATTAAATAAAATCAAGGAAGACTTGAAGTGACGTGACGCTGCACATTTTTCTTCTTCGCCTGTTTTGCTTTGTTTTTACGCAGTCGTGTTTTCTTTCAGTCAGTTTTTAGCCACATTGTTGATTGCCATGGGGCCTGGTCAAGTGGTAACGGAGGGAAACAGGAGCAGATTTTTGACATTCAAATGTCTCTTATTCAGAAATTAGAGGAACTATTGAAATAAGTAAAGTATCAGAATGTAGGAAAGAGTTACACTCCAACAGGGTCAAGTTAAACCTGTGATATTCTTTCAAGTTGTTGACAAAAAATTTTAAAACTCATGTCGGTAACAGAGGGAATGAAATATGCAGCACTTTTTGGGCAATAAATCCAAACAGTGATAACTCTTGGTTCTCACTTACATATCCTTAACAAACTGGTTTGAATATTTGCTTCATATAGTTTTCTACCATATGGTACAAGATTAGGTTGAAAAACCTCTTACTTTTTGAGTCATGAGATTTTTTATTAAGAAAGGTCATGGTAACGGAGGGAAAAGTAACGGAGGGAAAATTGTGCAAACAAGTAGAAGGTGCAGGATTTTACATCTTTTTTCTTCCGAATACTTTAATATTACTTCAAAATGAAAGGAAACTATTTCTATAAAATATGTCAGTCCTTCCAAGCAAATTTTATCATTTTAAATACTTTTTTTTTTTTAAATCATGTACCTTCATCAACAGTTCAAAGATGGAATAACACAAGATATGATGAAATACATCCATTTATTTACATGATTTGCAGGTCTTTGAAATTTGGGAAATAATTTTTGTTCCATGTTTCATACATGGTCTGTTTAAAATGTATGGAACTTTAGAACCAAAAAATGGTACAGAAAAAAGGTAAACAGTTTCATAAACTAGAGTACATATGTATCTGTTCAATACATTTTTATATCAGATGCATTAACTTGAATTTTTGGCCTTGTTGTTTACTTCTGCATGACCGGGCCCCATCGACTCTGGTGCAGCAAAAAAATAAAAATACAACTTAAAATTCAAATTGATGTTGATAATGACAGAACCGTCTATGGAATCAGTTATAACTTTTTCATTGGTCTCGTGCTTTGGGAGCATCTCTGCTAAAAACAAGAACTTAGAGAATTTACAAGAATTTAACAACAAGAATTTAACTTGGTTAAATGTGTTGGTTAAAGTGATTGTTCATCCTCAGAACCACCTGGACTCTCTGTACTCGAGACAGTTACAGAGGACGTCCCAGAAAATTCTAAAAGACGTGCAGCATCCACTAAACTCAGAGTTTCAGCTGCTTCCCTCTGGTCAGACGCTTTTAGTCCTAAAATCGAGAACAAATCGTTTTAAAGGGAGCTTCATTTCAGCTGCTATTGTACTTATGAATAAATTGTAATCTGTTTATCTATCAATTTTAGTACGTTTGTCTTGGAAAAATCATGTGTTTTTATATTGTGTTTTTAACCAAGCGTGATGGATGAATTTAATTATTTATGGAACAAAGTCATTCTGCACTGGAGCTCTGTAACACTTTATTTTGTAATTGTGTTTTTATATGTGTTTATGTGGATGAATGAAATGTAAAATGTGGGACCAGCAAAACAAATTTACCTATGGATACAAATAAAGCGACCTAACCTAACCTAAACTTTCTGTGGTAAAATATGCAGAGGAAAACTCAGGAGAAGCAGCCACAAGATGTTTTTCTGTCAACCCCAAGAGAGTGAGAGACTGGTGAAAATATAAATCTAACTTTCGAGGAAGACGGCAAAAAGGCCAGGCTGCCAGGTGGAGGGAGGAAGAAGACGAGTGAGGAGCTTGAGCTAAACATGCAGGAATGGGTTATCAGCAAAAGAGCACGCCACGAGAGAGTGTCCTGCAAAATGATCGGGGGGAACCAGCTGGAAAGTCCCGCTGGCTGGAAAGTCCCGCTGAACTGTACCCTTTATGAAACTAAGTAAGTCTTTATTTATATAGTGCTTTTCACAGACATGTGTCACAAAGACCTGCAAATCATGTAAATAAATGGATGTATTTCATCATATCTTGTGTTATTCCATCTTTGAACTGTTGATGAAGGTACATGATTTAAAAAAAAAAAAAAAAATGTATTTAAAATGATAAAAATTTGCTTGGAAGGACTGACATATTTTAT